ATGGAGGAGGCCTGTGGGACGACCGAGGAAGTCATGGCTTGGGCAGATCGACCAACCTGCGTGAAGAACTAGAGATGGGCCGAGTCCCTGCTGGCGTCTAGCCATGAGGGATCCTCGTAGGTGGAAGCGAAGGTGGATGCGGCTATGCGCCCCCGTCGGCGTCAGCCCCCATGATGATGATGATGATATACACATACACATATACATATACATATACATATACATATACATGTAATGTACATGTATATGTATATATATATATATATATATATAATATATATATATATATATATATATATATATATATATATTATATATATACACACACATAGATATTGATATAGATATATGCATATTATATATATATATATTATATATATATATATATATATATATATATATATAATATATATATAATAATATATATATGTATATATATATACATATACATATACACATATACATATACATATATATATATATATATAATATATATATATATATATATATAATATATATTTATTTATATAGATGTACATATATATATATATATAGATTTTTTTTTTTTAATTCCTTTACATATATGTATATATATATATAATAAGTATATAGTAATATATATATTATTATATATAAGTATATACACATATATATTACATATATTATAGTAGTGGGTACAATGTATATGAGATCATATAGTATTAGACAATATATAGTAATAGTAAACTGAATAATAAGAAATAATAAATTGATATAAAATAATAAAAATTATATATAAAATACTAATAGTATAAGTTATAAGTATATATACTTAGTAAATATATATATATATAGTCATTGTTAAGGAATATATATATGATATAATAGGTAGTATAATGAGATATATAGTAATAATAGAATAAATAGTATAAAATAGTATATATAGATGAATAAGGGAGAGAGAAGAAAAAAAAGAGTAGGGATAAAGTAGAATGAATAGTAGAATAGTTAATATATTAATAATAAGATAGTAATATAATAGTATATATGGGTATAAAGTAAATAAGAAGAAATGAGAATAAAGGAAGATATGTATGCTAATGTAAGGGATCTGAGATACAATTAAGAAAGTAGTAAAATATATATATAATAAGTATATATATAGTATAGTACTATATGTAGTAGAGAGAGATATAGAAAGTAGATAAAATATAAGAGAAAGGTAGAGAGAGAGTAAGTAAGATGTATAAGAATATAATAGTTAGTACAGTATGTATAGTTAGTAAGCATATATGTGATGAATATATATTAGATGAAATATAAGATAGTTAATAGAAAATAATAGAGAAGTATATAGTTAGAAGAGTATAAGATATATGATAAGGATAATAGATTAATATAAACGATAATATGTATAATAATGTGTAGATATAGATATAGAAGTATGAATGAAGAAAGAAGATGAGTATACGTAGATAAGCATAGAATGGTAGAGGAGTAATGAAGAGAGGAGATGTAAGTATATAATATAGAGACAGATATATAGAGTAAGAGATATAATATATGTATAGTTAAAGTATGTATAGAGAGATATATATAGTATTAATATATATAAGATATATGTAATGTATATAATGATAGAGTAAAAAATAGTAATGATGTATGTATTATGTAATAAATCAAAAATATAGTAATTCATTCTATATTATATTATAATATATACTTAGGTAGTAGATATGTTGGGTGTGTGGTGTGGTGTAGATGTGTGGTGATAGGTGGTGTGTGGTGTGGTGTGTGTGTGAGGATAGTGGATGTAGTGTGTGTGTGTGTGGGGTATGTGTGTTGTATGTGTGGTGTTGTGTGGTTAAGTGGTGTGTAGTGTGTGTGTGGAGTGTGGTGTGTGTGTGTGATGTGTGATATGTGTGTGTGTGGTGTGTGTGTATGTGTGTGGATGATGTGTGTGATGCTATGTGCATGTGCATATTAGTCGAGAGTATATATAAGTATAAGGTATATAGTATATATATAGATAGAATAAAGTGAAAGAGTAGAATTATGGAGACACGATATGAATATAAGTATATATATATATTATATACACACAACACAACCACACGAACAACACAGACATCATCACACACACACAGCCCCACACAACAACATCAATACACGCACGACAGAGAAAGAGATGGAGAGATAGGGAGACGGGAGAAAGAGGTAGAGGAGATAGGAGAGGAGAGAAAGAGAGAGCAGATAGGGAGAGGGTAAGAGAGGAGAGATAGGGAGAGGGAGAAAGAGAGAGAGATAGGGAAGAGGGAGAAAGAGAGAGAGATAGAGAGGGAGAAA